TCTTTATCAAATACTGAAACAAGAGCAATGGCTGTGCCAACTGATGCATCCTCTTTAACAGTGTTCAACAGTGATGTGACTGAAATTTCAGGTGCATTGTCATTAACGTCTAATACTTCAACCAGTAATTTAGCATGTGAACTCATAGGCGAGGAAGCTCCATCACTGGCTTGTACTTGAAGTTCAAAAGCATTATTTTCTTCAAAATTAATATTCCTTTTGCTCGTTACAGTCCCTGTTTGTTCATTTATAGAAAACACATCTATTTGTTTCCCACGACCAACTTTGCTGAATAAATAAATCACTTTTCCATTCTGTCCTTCATCTAAATCAGTGGCATTTAGTGTAATTATTGATGTGCCTATTTTAACATTTTCGTAGACTCTGGCTTTATACAACCGTTGGCTGAAAATCGGAGGATTGTCATTAATATCTAACACATTGATTATTATAGTCATACTTCCGGATTTAGCAGGTGTTCCTCCATCGATGGCAGTCAGTGTGAGCTTAATCATAGACTGTTTTTCTCTGTCTAAAACTCTCTGAAGCACCAACTCAGGAGTCACACCCTCTTCTTTATGTGTAGTCAATGAAAAATGTTCATTATGACTCAGCTTGTAGGTATTTACGGAATTTTTTCCCACGTCTGCATCGTGTGCTTGATGCAGAGGAAATTTAATTCCTTCCGCTGTGTTCTCAGAAATGTCGATTTCTTGTGACGTGCTTTCAAATGAAGGGGAATTATCATTCACATCTAAAATAATAATTTCAACACGATACAGTTTCAGAGGGTTATTAATAACAGCTTCTACACTGAGTGAGCATTTGGGCTCATCACCGCAAAGCTCCTCTCGATCTATTCTCTCGTTAACATAGAGGGCTCCAGTTTTTAGATTTACCTCGAAATATTTCCTCTTTGATCCAGAAACGATCTGAAACATGCGGGGCTCCAAATCCTGGACATTGATGCTCAGATCTTTCGCGACATTTCCGACAACAGTCCCCAGATTCACCTCCTCTGAGACGGAGTAAGAGAGCTGCC